GGTTTGGAGGTTAGTTTCAGCCTTTGGAGAAGATAACACTCATCCTGATTTTATTGCCCAGCTATAGGACTATTGTCAGGGAATTAAATTTTTTGACGGATACTACTTGACATACTTACATCATTACATGCCAGGTTAAGCCATGGATTAAAACAAGTCTAGCTCCAGGTTCTGGAGTTGTCAAAAAATATTTGCTCGAGAGGTATGGCCTAAATGTTTAGTTTCTTGTTTGTTGTTCTTAACATACATTCATGGAAACGTTACATGTGGTCTTGTTGAACTTTTAGTGGGCTGCAAAAGTATTTGAATCAACAGGGCTTTCACATTGTTGGTTATGGGTGCACAACATGTATTGGAAATTCTGGAGATCTTGATGAATCAGTTGCTTCTACAATTATGGAAAACGGTAGTTTTTTCAATTACTTTTCACACTTTTTTCAGCTTTATATTAGTCAATGTTTGGTGGAGCTTACTTTTAAGTTACTCTTTAAAGAAAAAAAAAAAGAAATTAAGCTATATTTGGAATACATAGCTAATATTTGTAGAATTTATTTGAAATCTATAACTTAGTTTCATGATGAAAATTTTATCAAAAAATGTTAAAATTTAACGTTATAGAATTTCAGGTGGAATTGAGATAATGTATTTTAAATGTGGATTAAAATGTAATATTTTATTTTTATTTAGAATTAGTTAATAAAACGTTAAATTTTATCATTTTATACAAAAATTTTACTTAAACTAAATATAGATTTCTAAATGAATTCTAGAAAATTACTTAATTTGTTCCAAGTATCAATATAGTTCTTATGAATATTTATGTTAATTTTACTATTCATTGTTCTTGCTGGTCTGCAGATATTATTGCCGCAGCTGTGCTTTCTGGAAACCGGAATTTCGAAGGTCGCGTTCACCCACTTACCAGAGCCAATTATCTCGCTTCACCTCCTCTAGTTGTTGCATATGCCCTTGCTGGCACAGTGAGTATATGTAACCAAACTTGTGACATCATAAACATGCGCATTATATGTTTTAGACTCTTGACATGTGGGATTAATGTGTTTCTTGATCCTACCGCCAGTTAGATATCTGTATTTGAAGTAAGAATCAGTTCTGTGATTCTACGTCGTGCTCACAGCTCCTTACTTTGATAAGCTTGTTAGGTGTCCCTAAACTGCTAAACCAGGTTTTGAACATGATGTGCATGTCATGGTTGTTATAATTTTGAACTATGGAAGAAAGTAGTTCTGTCATATATGAATAGCATTTTCAGGCTCCTTTGAACTAGAATTTTCCTTGGATTGGTGCTTAACTTGTCAATCCTTGTTCTAATTTCAGGTTGACATTGACTTTGAGAAGGAGCCAATTGGAACAGGGAAAGACGGGAAGAGCGTATACTTTAAGGACATATGGCCAAGCAATGATGAAATTGCTGAGGTAAATGGTAATACGGTTGGAGAAAATACTTAACATATTCTGGCTAAAGTATATTTTATTCCCAGTGCTAAATCTTTTTGTTCGTTTTTGTCTCTACTTTAATGTTGCATTAAATTAATTATTGTACTTTCAAAAAATATTCAAATTACTCCATCTTTGTTGATGCCCACTAACTCTTGTTAAAATCTGTGCTGCATTTCATCAGACTTCATACGTGTCAAATGAGCTAACATCACTTCTGTTATAGGTCGTTCAATCTAATGTATTACCTGACATGTTCAAGAGCACTTACGAGGCCATTACAAAGGGCAACCAAATGTGGAATCAGCTTTCTGCCACTGCTTCCACTCTTTATTCTTGGGATCCAAACTCGACCTACATTCATGAACCTCCGTACTTCAAGAATATGTCGGTTGACCCACCTGGTCCTCATGGAGTGAAGGATGCCTATTGCTTGCTCAAGTTTGGTGACAGTATAACCACTGATCATATCTCTCCAGCTGGAAGTATCCACAAGGACAGTCCTGCTGCTAAGTATCTCCTTGAGCGTGGGGTAAGTCCCAAGGATTTCAATTCTTATGGGAGTCGTCGTGGCAACGATGAAGTGATGGCACGCGGAACCTTTGCCAATATCCGAATTGTCAACAAACTCTTGAATGGAGAAGTGGGTCCTAAGACAATCCACATTCCATCTGGAGAGAAGCTTTATGTTTTCGATGCAGCAATGGTGAGTTCTTGTTATTCAGCATAGACATCAAAAAAATGAAAAAATTTATGCAAAGCAGACATGATGAAGTGTTGCTTCCCTTTTCATATTATCTTTCTGAATAATGAGTATCATCATTTACTTGCAGAGGTACAAGGCTGCTGAGCAAGATACCATTGTCTTAGCTGGGGCAGAGTATGGCAGTGGCAGCTCTCGAGATTGGGCAGCTAAGGGCCCAATGCTTCTGGTATTCTTTTCCTGTTCCACAGTTTCTAGCTGTTCAAATATTTTAGGCAGTGCTAGTAACTATCTTAATCTTTTAGTTTTTAAATTCATATATATATTATGCCTGAAGACCTATATTTGTTGAAAACAAGACGAGCTGAAAGATCATTGTGAAAATATGCTCGAGTTTGGGAAGGATAGAAGTTCTTTAAATGCGCATAAGATTTTTCACTGTTTTTTGAATGCTATTTTTAATTTCAACAACTATAGGTACTACCACATATCAATTTAGAAAATAAAAGATAAAATTAGTTTTTTACAACTAGACATGAAATTAAAATTTGTTTATTTGCTTATGAAATCCTTCTTATTTCAATTATAGGGAGTGAAAGCAGTCATCGCTAAGAGCTTTGAGAGAATCCATCGCAGTAATCTAGTTGGTATGGGAATAATTCCTCTTTGTTTCAAGCCTGGCGAAGATGCAGAAACACTAGGATTGACAGGTCACGAGCAATACACAATTGACCTTCCAACTAGAGTCAGTGATATAAGGCCTGGTCAAGATGTTACCATCACAACCAATGCGGGCAAATCCTTCTCATGCACTGTGCGCTTTGACACGGAGGTATTGGCTTCAGCCTTCTCTTTTCTTTCTTAGCATTTCTAAGAAAATATCACAGTGAAGTTGAATTTAATATCAATAATGAGCAGTATCTTTTAGTCATTGACATTTTTTTTTTCAAATTACAATATAGTATTTTTGCATAAAACAATTGATAGTCCTTGCTAGAAATTGGAGGGCGTCATTTTTCTTTTAAGCTGGGATTATTGTAGCTTAGTTTATGACTAAATGTGCAGGTGGAATTGGCATATTTCGATCACGGTGGCATCCTTCCATTTGTCATCCGCAACTTGAGTAAATAGTGACGATGTGAGTATTTGTTATCTCCTTGTTTTTGTGCGGAGGCAGGTATTTCTGTAATAAAAATGTTGTACCCTTGCGGACGTATTTTTAGCTTGCCATTTCTTTTGAACCAGACGAGGTCTAGAATTAGAACCGGCGAGTACATAATTGTGCTTTTTTTTTTTTTGGGGAATAATCTACAAAGTTAGTGGTGACTGTGAAATACTGTAGGTTGGTTTTGATCATTATATATATAAGCTGAGAGTATTTCCATAATAATAATTTTTTATATATTTTTCTGATCTCAAATTTGTTACAAAAATTTTAGAATGTAAACTGTAATGAAGTCAAAACCATAAATGGTGGATTTGTACTGAGGTGTTCTATTTAGCTACAGTCTGGTTAAAAACAAAATATTGAATCTTAAAAACTCATTATAAAGTGCATAGAGATAACATGAAAACCATGAAAATCTTTGAGAAACGACTTTGATAATCGTGTTTCGTGATAATGTCCCCTTTGCAATGTTCTGCTCACCGTGGGAAGTAGTATCCGCCTCGCTTGCGGTGGGATAGAATGGTAGGGAAGATGATGATATAGAAAGAATGGGCATTTGAATATGTGCTTTGGTAGGTACCTATAACGGAACATTTTGTTTAGTTTAGTGAATTTTTCTTTGGACGAAGTACATTTCTTTAATGTAAACGATAATACCATGAAAAAGAAAATACAGATCATGCATAATGGTTACCATATTGCAGTTCAAATCATCTTCTCTCTCTTTTGGTGGAATTCTGTATTTAAAATTTGCTTTTTATTCTTATTTCACATTGATTTTTTTAAAAAATATTTGTATATATTTAGAATTCCAAATGCAATTCAAGGTTATGCAAATAAAAATTAATTCAAAAAACAAATCGCAAATAATAAAACTATTAACAATGTTAGGAACCTTAAATTTTTATAAGACTCAAACACCGGAGTAAAACTATAG